TAACATTGACTCATTTTCATTCTTTCTACATTTTTGCTACTAAAAAAAAAAACTACCACCACCAACGCTGAACTTGGTAGTTTGAACCAGAGAAAGGCAATGGGCTAAAAGGTGTTGTACCAAAAAAAAAAAAAAAGAAAGAAAGAAAGAAAAAAGAAAAGAAAAGTTAATACTTCAAAATATTTTTTGAATTGAGGTGAAATTCACATAATATAAAATTAACTAAAAGTATAGAGTTCAGTGGTATTTGATATATTCACAACGTGTAATTGCCTCCTCTAAAGTTCTGAAGCATCCATCACCCCAAAAGGAAGGCCCATATCCATAAAGCACTCACTTCCCCAGGCCCTGGCAACCACCCATCTGCTGTGTTTCTACTAATTTACTGATTCTGGATATTTCCTATAAATGGAATCATCCAATGGGGACCAACCTCATAGTCGCCGTGCTCTGTCGCACACCAGATGCTGGCTAAGTGCTAGAGGTAAGATGAGGAAGAGGACAGACCTGACCCCTGCCTTCATGGGGCTTACTAGAGGGACATTATTCAAATAAACACATACAATTCACTAGCTAACTGCAAATGTGCAAATGATGCAGAGAACAAAACCCATGGGAAGGACAAATGAGGGGGCCTGATCTAATCTGGGGAAGGAGGGAAGGCTTCTCTGAAGAGAGGACATCTGAGCTGAGCCCTGAGGAATGAGCAGGGGCTAAGCCAGGGAAAGAGGAGATTAACAAATGGTTGCCAGTCAGAATGGAGCTGTGGAAGGCAAAGTGGGGGACTGAGAGGTATAGACAGAGGAGTCAGGAAAGTTGATTTGGTTTATTTTTGTTTTTGTTTTATTAGCCAAAGTCCATGGTTTACATTAGCGTTCACTCTTTCTTTTGTACAGCTTGCTGGGTTTTTAACAAATACAGAATGGCATGAATTCGTCAATGACAAGCATCATACAGAACGGTTTTGTGGTGCTAAAAATACCCTGTGCTTCACATATTTATCCCTCCCTGTCCACCACCCCCTCCCCAGATGTTGGCAACTACAGATCGTTGTTCCTATCTTTGGTAGTTGTGATTTTACTAAAATGTCATATAGTCAAAACCACAAAACAGGTAGCCTCTTCAGACTGCTTTTTTTTCCACTTGGCAATATTCATTTAGGGTTCCTCCTCGTCTTTTTATTCCTTGTGAGTGTGTTGTGCATGTGTGTGATAGAGGTGGTGATAAAATAATATAACATAAAGTTGTCATTTCAACCATTTATTTTTATTTATTTTTTTGAGACAGGGTCTCACTATGTTGCTCAATCTGTGCTCAAACTCCTGAGATCAAGTGATAGTCCTCCATAGTTTGGGGATGACAGGGATGTGCCACTGTGCTGGGCTGCCACTGTAGCCATTTTTAAATGCACAGTTCAGTGGAATTCACATAGTTGTGCAACCATCGCCACCATCCACCTCCAGAACTTAGCTGATTCCTTTTTATTGCTTAATAAATTCTACCATATGAATGTACCATGGTTTGTTTATCCACCCACCAATTGATGGAAGATTTGTTTTTAAACAAGACCACCAGTGGGACAACCAATTGGCAGAGGCTACTGCTGCTGCCCAGGCAAGAGAGGATAGTGGGGGCTGGGGATCTGGCTCAAGCAGTAGTGCGCTCGCCTGGCATGCGTGCAGCCCGGGTTCCATCCTCAGTACCACATACAAACAAAGATGGTGTGTCCACCGAAAACTAAAAAATAAATATAAAAAAAAAAGAGAGAGAGAGAGAGGATAGTGGCTTCTGCTGGGGTGAACTCAGTGAACAAATGAAAAGAAATGAGTTGGCACTGGCAAGACCTGCAGACAGATAGTTAGTGGGGTTGAGAAGTTAAGGATGAGATACTGCTTTCTGGCTTGCGTGTGGATAGATGGTGGTATCATTGACTGAGATGGGAAATGGATCTGGGAGAAGGCCATGAATTCAGCTTTGGATCTGAAGTGTTGAGTTTAAAGTGCCTGAGAGACATCCAAGTGGGTGTGTGATGTGTCCTATGGGCTTAAGGGCCTAGAGCACAGACCTGTTCCCTCTCACTCTTTCCCCTCCCCACCACACAAGTTATTCTCTGGGCCTTATTTCTGTTCCTGAACTGGCTAAGTTCCCTCCATCCCAGGAACCACGGCACTGCTACTCCCTTTGCCTGGAACCCTTCTGCCCCGAGAAGGTCACTTGTCTAGCCCCTTCTATACATTCAGATCTTACATCAAACATTGCCTATTCAGAGAATCCTTCCAAAAACCCAGCTAAAGTCAGTGACAGGAGAGAGCCTAGGGATCTCACTGGTCAAATTATGCTGTAACAGTGAGACAGGGGGAAAAAAAAAAAAAAACTTCCAAGGATAAAGAGGAAAGGCAGACAAGAAAAGACTGGTTAACAGGTCCAAATTACAGTTAGAAATAAGGAACAAGCTGGGCATTGTGCACAAGTTGTAGTCCCAGGGATGCTGAGGTGGAAGGATCACTTGCGCCCACAAATTCAAGACCAACCTGAGCGACATAGTGAGATCCATCTCAAAAAAAAAAAAGTTCTAGAGTCTATAGCACAGTAGGGTGACTAAAGTTAATAATAATTCATTGTGTATTTCAAAATAACGAAAGAAAGGATTTCAAATATTCTCTCCATGCAGGCAATGGATAAGCTAACAACTTTGGTTTGATCATTACACAATGTACACATATATCGAAATAGCACACTATATCCCATAAATATGTGCAACTATCATGTGTTAACTAAAAATGATTTTTTTTTAAATTCCAGAAACTTAGTGCTTATAACAATAAACATTCATTTCTCACCCAGAGGTCTGCAGGTCAACTCGACTCAGCAGGGCTTTTCTGAGCTGGGCTGAGCTCCAGGCTGTGGGTCATGCATGGCTGCCTCACATGTCTTCTCATTCTGAGACCAGCTGAAGAACCCCCCCACAACACTGCCTGGAGTTCTCATGGCCAAGGACAGTTGCTCAAGAAGTGGGAATGGAAACATTCAGTACCTTAGAGCTGGCCCCTGTCATTTCCACACATATTCTCTTGGCCAAAGCAAGTCACGTGGCTAAGTTCAATATCAACAGGGTAAGGAAGTATATTCCTCCCACAGTGGGGAGGTCTGGAGGAAGTAAATATTTGCTGAACAATAATATAATCTAGCAAATGACCCAACTCTATTTTTCCTATATGGCCATGTTTATTGAGAAATACCCTACTCTTACAACGTAAGATTTTCTATAAATGAATGAGTGCATGGGAGAATGTGCCTTTCCAGGCAGGAAGATCGTGTGTGTGTGTGTGCGTGTGTGTATGTGTGTGTGTGTGTGTGTTTTGTGTATTACTGGGGATTGAACCCAGGGACGATCTACCACTGAGCTATATCCCCAGCCCTATTAATTTATTTTTCTTTTGAAACAGGGTCGTATCTTACTAAGTTGCTGAGGCTGGCCTTAAACTTGCAATCCTCCTGCATCAGCCTCCTGAGATACTAGGATTACAGGAGGGTGCCAACACACACCAAGCTTCGCTCCACTCTTCAAATGAGGAACGAGAGGCTCAGGGAAAGGAAGTGACTTGCCAAAAGTTATAGAAACCACCTGTGGCTTTTCTGGTGCCTACAGCTTAGTTCCCCCACATGTGGGAAATGAAGCAGCAAAAAGCTGTTTTCAGGGTAGCAATGCTATATACCACCTATTTTTGTCTTCTCACCGAGACTTGATTGACAGACACATAATCAGGGGTAAGTCCACCAGAGCATCTCCTTGCTGATTCAATCTCAGTTCTCACTTTGAAGCCAGGTAGGACCCTGATTCATCATTTCCAGATCTCCAAGTCCCAGATGGCAGATGTGCATTGAATAGGTGAGTCATTGGTACCTTGGTAGTTTTAATTGCTGACTAAGAGTTCCATGAATTCTCTGTCCTGCCCCAACTGTGCCTTCCCCTAAGGTACAAGCAGTCACCTCTGCCTTTACAGGGACCTGCGGGATTGAACAGAATGGGACACACAGTGGAGCTTAAAAATGAAGAACAAGCAGAGGAAAAGTCTGGAAGGATATGCCTCAGATAAACAGTGAGTTATTCTTTTGAAGCAGGGCTACTTACGACTTAAGCTCTCCATTTTGGGACTTTATGTAACATTTGAACAGTTAATAATATTTTGCTTCTACAGATGTGACTACAGGTATGCTTCTGATTGCATAGGTTGCTATCATTAAGAAGAAAAAAATTGACCTGGAAATATTTTAAAGTTCATATTACGTGCAGAAAGCAATTCCTGGCTGGTTGGTTGGGAAACTCCTGAAAATCTTCTTCTTCCAGAATCCTACTCCCACACATTGTCAGAAAGCTGTTTTCAGAAACACTGAGTCAATTCCCAACCACTCCCTCAGTCGGCAAGCCAGTGAACACCTACCACACGCCTAGTGCTGAGTGAGCCATCAGGGTGACAGGTGAACAGGCAGGGAAACAGGTGGTAGCCAGAGTCAGCAAGGCCCACATTCATACCATAGTTGACATGGATGGGGCTGACCATGGGCCAGACACCGTGCTAAGTGCTCTCCGTGGATTATCACATTTGATCCGCACAACAAGCTGATGAGGTAGGAGTTATTATTATGCTGCTTTACAGCTGTGGAAACTGGAGTGCAGAGAGGCAAAGGAACTTGCCCAAGGTCACAAACTAGCAGATGGTGGAACTGACATTTGATTCCAGAGCTTGTGAGCTTAACTGCTACCCCACACTGCCTCCCACAAGGAACTTGTCCAAATTCCATGACCAGTAAGTGGCAGAGTCAGAATTCAAACCAGGAAAGGTTCACCAGCCTCCCAAGAATATGCTCTGAACTGGTAAGTCGTCCTTCTCCCTTCCAAGCCTCCCCACTTCTAGATGCTGCACAAACATGCTGGGTGACCTTGGTTAGCCTTTCTGAGCCTGCTGTCACTGCCACAAAATGGGAAGAATGCTGCTTACCCAAAGGAGCTGTAGAGAGGCTTATTTGAGAAGCCGGTTCCTCCGTGGGCTTGGTAGGCACTCGGTAGAGATCTGTGTTCTTCTTGCTTTCCAGGAGTTTAGTGCAATCGGCCAAGTGGACGCAGGAGCAAGTCTATCCAATAAGCTCTATGACTGAGATGTACTATGAGCTGGGGGCCAGGAGAGGGCCAGGAGAGGGTTAAAAGTCAAGGGTTGCCATGTATCCAGAAAACTCAGTTGAGGGAACACTGGAATAAACAATCCCCAGAAGGAGGGCAGTTTAGTTCGTCATCTTTCCTGTTTTCCAAGCCTGGCCCAGTCCCAGAACCTCTTCTTAATCTTGTCAGAATTTGGCCCTCTGCCCAGGAAGGAGCCATCAGGAGCCTCAAAGTGAGCCAAGTCTTCAAGGAAGTGATGTCTTTTGTGGGTCAAGAAGAGAAGCCAGGAGTGGTGGCACACATTTGTAATCTTAGCTACTAGGGAGGCTGAGGCAGGAGGACCAAAAGTTTAAGGCCCAGCCTGGTAAAAATAAATAAAGGGCTGGGGATGTGTGTTATATCAGTGGTAGCGATCTTACCTAGCATATGTGAGTAAGGCCTCAGTATACTGAGAGAGAGAGAGAGAGAGCGCACAAGAATCTTTCTGGGAGAGAGAAGGAGGCAAAGACAGAATCAGGGAAGGGTCTAGCCAGCAGACTAGTCCATAAACCAGTGGAGAAACTGAGGCTTAGAACAAAGCAAGGCTTACTGATAATGCTGGTGGCAGAGTTGGGACTAGGAGCCTATATTACTGGCTCCCAGAGCAGAGTCCTGTCCACTGCAAATGCCAGCTGCTCACCTGCTTCTTACTCCAGGACCACCCCCCTTTTCCCGCAACTCCTTCCAGTACCATCTCCCCTTACCGCACTAGAGACTTCAGATGCACAGCTATGGGTCCTGCGGATACTAGAGAAGGAATCAGCAGCTGCAAACACCTTAGTGGGCTTGTCCCTGTGGGAAATGAGGATGAGAGACCGTCTGAAAGAAGGAACCAGTGACTCCTGAGGACCTACTACATGTCTGTGCCGTGGCTGGCACCTTCAATACTTCACATCAGCTACTTCTCACACTAACTCTGGGAAGTAGGTTGCATCCCCATTTTGCAGATGAGCAACCTGGGGTTCATGGGAGAGATGCTTCCCTCTCAACTTTACCTGCAGCCCATAACTCTCCTCTGAGCTCTGGGCTGGGCTATCCACTTTGTCGTGGGCATCCACATGCTTTTCAAACTTAACTTGAATGATACTGAACTCATTAGCTTTCCCTCCCACAGACTTCTGGTTTCCCATCATAGCTTTGCAACTCAGAACCAGAATAGCTTTATCCTTCATCTACTCTTGCCCTGCTCCCGTCTCCAAGGAGTAGCCTGGTCCCACCTCTCATTCTATTTTCCAGACACTGACTTTCCTTAATGCCAAGGTTTGTAGCATACATAGTCCAGAGTTCATCACTTTACTCCTGGATGACTTCACCATTCTGCCCCCAGATTTATTTACACCCATCCATGCTACCCAAATGTTAGGGTAGTGTCAGGTATGGTGGCACATGTCTGTGATTCCCAGCTTCTGAGGAGGCTGAGGCAGAAGGGTCACAACTTCAAGGCCAACCTGGGCAACTTAGCAAGACTCCACTTCAAATAAAAAGGACTGAGGATATAGCTCAGCGTTAGAGCACTTACCTTGCATGTGCAAGACCCTGGGTTCAATCCCAGGGTCAGGAAAAAAAAAAGTGGGGGTGGTAATTTCCCTAAAATGCAAATCTGCTTAGCCTCGCCCAGCTGAAAACCTTTCAGTGGTTTCTCAATACACTCAGGATAAACCTTTTACTAGAGTTTATCAGGTCCCAAAAGTCTTGTCCCTCACTGCCCTCTCTGGTCTCATATTGGGTCACTCCCTAACTTTTGTCCTCAAGCCTCAGACACCCTGGAATGCTTGCAGTTTCTCTTTTACTTCAAGGCCTTGGCACATGCTGTTTTCTCTGCCTTTGCTTGGCTAACTCCTTCTCATCTTTCAGGCCTCAGCTTAGTCACCACTTCCTGACCACCCCCCCTCTCAAGCTTCATGAGCTGCCCCTCCAAAGAATTCCACAGTCCCCCTATACTTCCTCAGCTGGTTCCTGCCCCTCCCTCTCCCAAGCTCCTCTGCAGGCCAACAAAGCCTTCCTCAGTGTCACAGATTGTTGGAGCAGCACTCTCCAAAGGAAATACAATGCATGCCATACACATATATACGTAACTTTTCCAGGAGCCACATTTTAAAAAGTAAAAGGAAATAGATGAAATTCATTTTAGTGACATTTTAATTCAATATTTCAAAATGGTATTTTAACATATAATCAATATACAAATTATTAGCATTTATTTCAAAATCTGGTGTGTATTTTATACCCAGTCAATGCTGATTTGAAGTAGCCACATTTCAAGTACTCAATAGCCCCATGTGCTTGTGGCTATCAGATTGGATGGCACAGTTTTGGAGGATGCTTAAAGCTAACTAATCTGTTTCCTGTTCTGGGGGAAACTAATTCTGAGAAATATTCATGGGTAGTCTGTAGGGGGAAAAATAAGAAAAGAAAAGATTCTATGTCAAATACATCTTGAAAACACTGACAAAGTGAAACAGGATTTTTATGCTAGTTAAAATTTAGTTAGTCCTCTCTGTGCTAACTAATCTGAGATACAATAATAGAAACAGACCAGAGAGCATATAGCATTTCCCCAACTTATCTGAGCTCAGAACTTTGTTTTCATAAAGCATTTCCAGGGATTAGTGTCCAAACGAATGTTCTTTGGCAAATTTTGTTTTGGTCACATCTTTAACTCAGGAGATCCCAAGATTCCCACAGGGAGAACTTAGGGTTCAAGAAGCCAACCTCAAGTTTCTCTGCACTCACAACCTGATTACTGAATTGACTAATTCTGGGAAGTCACAGAGGTCAGGACTAGGATCAGTGAGGAAGAAGTGCAGCATTTTTGAGCTCAGGCAAAAAGGTTTAGAGTGTGTGTGTGTGTGTGTGTGTGTGTGTGTGTGTGTTTAAACCACTTGAAACTAAGTTGCTAGAATGGTCTGGAAAATGCAGTAAGTAAGTGGCCTTGTGAGATGATGATTTTCTATCACTAAGAGTGATCAAGTCTGGATTTCTGTGTGGGGCAAGAGGCTCCGCCCCAGAACTTCTAATTTCCCTTTTTTAAAACTTAAAAAAAAAAAAAAGCAGTAGTGGGCAGCAAACTGTGTCAGAGGAAGTGGTCAGACATGTTCTGGAACCTTTATAAAGAACACACTGAGATTCTGGAGGCTTTGGTGGAGGATTAATTTATAGCCAGAGTCCCTTTGAGACTACAGGTTCTTGGTTCAGTTCAGAGGATCCTTAATCCATTAGACACAGTCAATATCTGGTCATTGACTAATTGGATAAATCAGTCATCCATCACAATGTGTGCCTTGGTGGTAGACAAGAAGATGGTCTGTTTCTTTTAAAATGGCTTGTATGGGATAAAACCAGGCAAAGCCAATCAATACTATTGTAAGTCATCAGTACAGTGATTATCTTTGGGGATGATGACAGAAAAGAAGCACGCACAGGGTTTTTCAGGGTGCCGATCATGTTCTGTTTCTTGATTAGGTGCAGTTACATAGATGCATTCAGTTTGTAAAAATTCATCAAGCTCTACATTTTTGATATGTGCACTTTTGGGTATGTATAATACACTTCCATAAATAGTTTTAAAAATTGCTTTTGTGATGATGCACTACTTTATCCACTAAGAAAAAAATAGTGTGATTCTGATGAACCCAACTAAAATGATCGGGCTGGTCTGATTTGAGCTGGGGAAGAAGAGGTTAACCATTAATGAGATGTTTTTTTCCTGTAAGTTCTGAGCAGCATTTTTGATAGCTAAGAGGGCAACTAAAGGTTGGCTAGGCTTCAGCAAAGCCCCTAAGCATCCAAATCCAGAGAGCAGATGAAATCAGACCAGTCATCTTAGAACCTCCAGGTGCCCATCAATAGGATACCTGAAAGTACCCAGAAGCGAAGATCTTTAAAGATTGGGCTATGTGTCCCTATGCCTATCATGGGACCTGACACAAAGTAGGTGTCTTCTTCCCTCTTCTTCCCTAGATTTCAGGGATGGTGGTCCCAGAAATGCCCAGGCCTACTGTGAGAAGGAGGGCATTGCCCCATGAGGGGCCATCAAGGATCACAGAGGCTAACACACCTGGGTTTAGAATGGAAGGGGAAACGAAACCCTTGTATGGCTCACATGTGTTCAGCTACAAAGAAGCCACCTGTGGTCAATTGAAGAGTGCTTGGGGAGAAGGAGGGAACTTTATAGAAGTGGGAGGAGGTGGCTAAAAAAGATGGATTTCAGGTGGTGAAGGTTGGGGAGGTCAATGAAAACAGCAGTTAAGAATAACAGGCAATACATCAGAGGGTGAGAGTAGGTTGGGGGAAAGGTAGGTTTCAGGTAGGGGAAATGCAGTATGTCAAAGAAAACAGGAGTTAAGCAGTACACCATTGAGCAAAAGAAGAAGAAAAAAAACACCCTTGGGCATAGAACTTTTTGACATTGATAAAACATGTAGCCAAGCAGTTCTCTTGTCTGTGAAAATGAGACAATAATAGTTTCTTCCTCTTGGCGTGATTAAGAGGACAAAATCAATCCATGCATAAAAATTATACCAATCTTATCATTTCTATCAATAATAAAGGTATTGATAATACAGTAGGAAGAAACTTCTACTTCCAAAGGAGCCCAGGTAATTTGACTTGAGAGGAAATACAACTAAAAATCTAGAGGGGAGAGAATAGAGCAGCCAGAAAGGGGGCTCTTAAAAGAGGAACTCTGGAACTTCTAAGCAAATTCGGTGTTTAAGTATATACGTAGTTTGGAAGGAGGAGATGGCCCATAGCTGCATGGGTTTCTTGAGAAGTCCATGGCACAGTGCTCCTCTTCCCATAGTTTAAAAAGTACTGATCTAAGCTGGGTGTGGTGGCACATGCCTATAATCCCAGCAGCTAGGGAGGCTAAGGTAGGAGGACCACAGGTTCAAAGCCAACCTCAGTAATTTAATAAGGCCCTAAGCAATTTAGCAAGACCCTGTTTCAAAATACAAAATAAAAAGGACTGGGATGTGGTTCAGTGGTAAAGCACTTCTGAATTCAAACCCTGCCCCCCGCCCCCAAAAGAAAAAAGTACTCTTGAAGAAACAAGAGAAGGAAACAGATGAGACAAGAGACCCACAATCATCCATGGATGAAGTGGGCCATTTCTATAAGCCTAGGACACGGGGTTGGGAATGTTGGAAAGTATAGAGAAGAGGCAAAGGAGAGAGAGAATTCATTGGAACAGAGGCTTAGAGAACCAAGCCAACTCCCAGTGGGATGGAATGGGAGTAAGTTCAGCTGTCACGTGACCCAGAGAAGGCTCACAGTGGCTATGGGCTGGGTGAGCGGCTTGATGGGCAGGCAGCCTGATCCAGCAGCTGAGGATTGCAGAAAGGCAAACTGCACATCTGGAGGGAGGGAATAAAAGGGACCT